TCTGAATATTGCCTATGGTTTTTGAATATTGCTGTAAACACTTAATATTGTTCTGAATATTGTTGTCATGTGCCTGTTCTTGAAGGCTTAATATTGTGCCTATGGTTGTGGCTGTGAACACTTGATATTGTTCTGAATATTGTTGTCAGGTGAATATTGTGTTTGTTCTTCTATTGGTTTACAATATTGTGTTTCTCAGGTTTACTCCATTTGAATGGCTGAAGGTTGTTCCTGAAGAACACTGGGCCAGATGTTTCTTTTCTCCTAATGCAGTGTTTGATGTGATTGTTAACAATCTATCAGAATCTTTCAACAACTACATTTTGGAAGCTAGGGACATGGCTATTGTGGACATGTTTGAGTGGATCAGAAGAAGATTGATGGCAAGAATCCAGGTGAAGAAAGCTGGAATAGAAAAATACACAGAGGAAATTTGTCCGAACACAGTCAGAAAGATTGAAGAGCAAAGGAAAATAAGTAGGAATTGTTACCCTACTTGGGCTGGAGAGGACAAATATGAGGTAGTTCATGGAGTAAACAGCTATATAGTCCAATTGGGAGCAAGAAGATGCACATGTGGCATGTTCCAAGTGGTTGGCTACCCCTGTTGCCATGCACTGGCATGTATCAGTTTTCACAGATTCAATGTGTCTGATTATTTCAAAAAGGACATGTATATCAGAATGTATACCCATATGATCTTCCCAGTGCCAGGGATGAATGACTATGAAGAGTCTGGAATGGGTCCAATACAACCACCTGATGCTGTGAAAAAAAAGGGGTAGGCCTACAAAGAAAAGAAGAGCTGACGCTAATGACATAAGGCTTAAGGCATCAAACAGCAGCAGAAAGGGCCTTATCAAGAAATACAGTCTATGTGGGCTCAACAACCACAATAAGAGAAGGTGCGCCAAAATAAGTGAACAGGTCAGTGTTTATTATATTTTTTTTCTACTTCAATTTTTTTTGTTCTTATTTCTGAATTCAGTTGTTTTACTATTTTCATTTTTTTTTTGGGCAGCCAAGGGAGCCTCAGCCATCTCAGCCTCAGCCTCCTCACCCTCAGCCAGCTAAGCCTCAGCCATCTCACCCTCAGCCAGCTCAGCCAGCTCAGCCTGAGCCACCTCAGCCATATGTTCCATCCATGCCATGCTTTGAAGATTTTATTCAGTGCTCTGGTCCACAATCATCCACTCAACAAAGCAGGGATTATGGTGATTCCATTTAGTGTTGGTCAAGAACTCTTTCATTCCATGGACTATTGTTTTTTTGGTGTGTTGTTCAGTAAACAATTCATTTCTTCTATGGTGATGTTAATGGTTATGACAATGTAGTTGTGGTATCACTATTGTGTATTTTGTTTGGAATGCTATTGACAGTATTGTTTTGAATGCTATTGGCAGTATTGTTGGGTTTTGAATGTTTGGTTTTGAATGTGTGGCTGAATGCTATTGGCTGCATTGTTGTGTATTTCTATGGACTATTTTTTTGGTTTTGGATGTTTGGTTTTGTATGTTTGGCAGTAATGTTTGATTTCTATAGTGTGTTCAGATATTTTTTTGGCTAGTCATAGTAGTAATGGTAATGACCATTTGTAGATACATGTGGTGAGAGTGGAGAAGCATTGACAGTAAAAATTTCATTCAGGAACAACAAATGATTATCATTACTTAAACCCTTTAATAACAACAAATTTCATTGACATTAAAAATTTCATTCAGGAACAACAAATTTCATTCCATTCATAACAAAGGCACATTGTACAAAAGATTACATTAGTTAAACCCTTTAATTACTTGAGCACAATAATAGCCATAAGAACAACAATAACCAAACAAAGCAATCCATTGCTAAATATTTTCTCAAACTTCTCGATCTTTGATTGAATCTCCTTCAACATTGTTGCAATTTCCCCATTTTCATTTGTTACCTTTGCCCCGGTTGACTCAACCTCATCACCATCATCTTCAAAGAAAACATCATCTTCATGTACTTCATTTGACTTCACCCAATTCACTGAGGTAGGTATAAGCCAAGCAAAGAAACGACACTTGTTGTACGGACAATTGCAGAATAGCTTGCCAACGGTTTCTTTCGTAGGGCCAACAACTTTAATGAGAGTAAATGCGTTGCAATAACACTTAGGATGCTTATACCTAAGATCCAATCTCTCATTCTTTGACATCTTTGATTTTTGGGAAGACATCTTCTACATGGAAAAGATTAAAA